AGTAGGGAGAACAATGAGACAGTAGATAGTAGAGACAGGAGGGAGAGAGATAAGAGAGTGGAGAGAGATAGTAGGGAGAGATAAGAGACTAGAGATATGAGAGACAGTAGAAAGTAGAGATAGTAGAGACAGTAGTGAGAGACAGTGGAGAGAGTAGAGACAGTAGGGAGATAAGAGACAGCAGAGATAGAGACAGTAGGTAGAGAGCGGAGAGAGTAAAGACAGTAGAGAGAGATAGGACACATTAGAGAGATAGTAGGGAGAGAGATAAGAGACAGCAGAGATAGTAGAGAGACTGTAGGGAGAGAGATAAGAGACAGTAGAGAGACAGGGAGATAGAAGAGACAGTAGAGAAAGATAAGTAGAGAGAGACAGTAGAGACAGATGGGAGAGACAGGAGAGAGATAGGAGAGACATTAGATAGTAGGGAGAACAATGAGACAGTAGAGATAGTAGAGACAGGAGAGAGAGATAAGAGACTAGAGAGATGAGAGACAGTAGAGAGTAGAGATAGTAGAGACAGTAGGGAGATAAGAGCTGAGATAGAGACAGTAGGTAGTGTAGAGAGACACAGAGAGATAAGAGACATTAGAGAGACAGTAGAGACAGAGAGACAGTGGAGAGGGAGTAGAGACAGCAGGGAGAGGAGATAAGAGACAGCAGAGTTAGTAGAGAGACCTTAGGGAGAGAGATAAGAGATGATAGGCAGGGAGAGAGATAAGAGATGATAGGCAGTAGAGATACAGTGGAGAGGGAGTAGAGATAGGGAGATAAGAGACAGCAGAGATAGTAGAGACACTGTAGCGAGAGAGATAAGAGAGAAAGTAGAGACAGATGGGAGAAACAGAGAGAGACTGTAGAGACAGAGAGGGGAGAGACAGTAGAGAGAGATGAGAGACAGTAGATAGTAGGGAGAACAATGAGACCGTAGAGGTAGTAGAGACAGGAGGGAGTGAGATAAGAGAGTAGAGAGAGACAGTAGGGAGAGATAAGGGACAGTTGAGAGACACAAGGGTAGAGAGACAGTGGAGA